GACTAGTTTCCCAGAATATTCTTTTATTAGCTCTGTGTCATCTTTAAGAACACCACTAATGTCATTTTTCACTTTTTTTATATTGAATAATATTTCTTCCATGATACTAAGAAGGTGGATTTCCTTATGATCTTTAACATATTTCCGTAGGTATTCTTTAAAATCACCCTGAAATAAATCATCCTGAAATAAATCACCTTGAAATAAATCATATATATGAACTTTACGGTTTACGATTCCTATAATCTTGTTTTCAAATATCTTTTTAGGAACGAACCCGATTTGCACCGAGTTGATATCATCATATAAATCTATCACGATTTTGGAGTCTTTAAGAGAGTATGGATCAATTATACAAGTTTCCATTTTTGGTTCCATAAAGTGAGCGATTAATAAACGTTCACCCAGATTTATAAAACTAATTTGAAAATTTTCATCATGTGGGTCCTTATAATCTATTTCATTATCAACTGTAAATAGAATAAATAGATGGCATTACAAATCAAAATGATTCAAAAAGACCTTTAAAGAGCGTTTTACTCACATGAAAAAATTTCAATCCCAGTTTTCGCAGAGTAAATCTTTAAAACATTGTGCCAAACTGCTAATAGTGTATAATATTTATTAAATAAGAGATCATTTGCAACAGGATATTGTATTTCAAAATTTCCAGTTTTTATGTTCCACTGAGTTCTTAAATAATCATTTCCAACAAGAAGTTTCCCATATCTAGATAAGATACATTGATCAAGTTCAATGGTGAATGCAAAAATATTTTTACATTGCAAAATATTTTTATCATTAATATTGACAGAATATAAATAAACTTTTGAATCATTTATGAGAACAAAATCTCCATCTTTGAAAAAGGAAACAAGAACTTCGGATGTATATAAAGTCTGCTCGTTAAAATATGGAATTCCAACCGGTTTTTCATTATTAGTATCATACATAACTACATTATTATGGGTAAAAAGAAAAAAAAATTGAAAGTTCGTGATAATAATTATAAACTATAAATAGGTTTTTCGAAGTCACTCAAACAATTACATGCTAAATTATACATCGACAAATACAATATTTAATATAACTTACTACAAGAGGTTTCACTCATTAAGACTATTAATGCATCATCTGATAATTCACCCAATTTATAAATGCTTTCTCCATATTCA